CATAACATGAATAAAAAACACACACTTTTCCTATGCAGAATGATAGATTTTCTTGAAATTTTTTCACTCATTACATTTTTCTCCACCCATCCCGTGCATACTTACGCGTTTATTGTATTCTTTTACTTTTTGTCATTTTCAATCCTATATTCGTTTCCACATTTTTATTTTCGAAAGAAGCTACTAAATATAATATCAATTCATTTCTATGAACATAAAAAAGAAAAAATGGAATACCAACCTAAGCCTTAGTTTTGATCGATACATGTGATATTTGTTAGCCTTTTGTCTCGTTGTCTTCTCGTTTCACCACATATTCCTTTCTTTTTCTTATTGTGTTCTTTAAGCTTGTTGCAGAGCTAAAGTGAACAACAAAATTTAAGTAGATTACGGAAAAATCAGGAAAAAAAAATGAGGATTTGATCATTGAAAAGTTTGAACGTTTTTTATCTCACTAACCTGTATTTTTAACCTTCAACTTCTCAATCTTTTTCTTTCATTTCGTAGGCTTGTTGCCATTGTTTGGGCAAAGAGAGAATATATCTATGTGGCTTGAAATTTTGTAATATTTTATGAAAAATTTGAAGAAACCATTGAAGAGAATTTAATGATTTACAATTTCTGAAATGCAAGTTGAGATGAATGTTCACCGTGTGTTAAATGTCTAAAGAAAGATTAACCGTTTCGAAAATCGTCAGATAGTGGCCTCAAATTTAGGGATTTCTTGAAGATTTTCTTTATATTTCATAGGAAAATAATTAAATAAAAATCAGTTAATAAAAGGAAGTTCTTTTTCTCGTCAAAACTTTTTCCTGTATTTGTGTTGTTTTTAGTCCTTAAAATATAAACACACACGATCAGTTTCTTTTTAATTTTTGAAGAAATTGTTTTTTTAATTGTTTAAAAAAATGCCACATGTTAAAATTTGATTGCATAAGTGACTTGTGCTTTTGTGATTTAGTATATTAAGGATATATAAAAGTATTTTTGTTATTTATATATTTTTGTTATTTGATAAGTGAAAAAAAGTTTCAATAAGTTAAAAAAAAAAAGATAAGAGATAAAAGATTTTAAAAAAGATCTTGCCATTCGAAGCTAAAAATAGTGCAGGAAATTGTTTTCAAATTATTAGAAAGAAAATGAAAAAGAGATGGTGGAGTATTTTTTTAAAAAATAAAAATAAATTAATTGTATTTTAAAAAAAGATGACACATGTCATAACCACAATTGTCAATTGACTTCCGATTTAGTAAAATAAGATATATAACAAAAAATAAAGAAAACAAAATTTAGCAGAAGAAAAAGAAGAGATTTCTGTCGCTCGTCGTCGCTGACAAACCATACATGCCTAGCTCTGTACATTTTTATATATGTTTAGGTAGATTGAGATATGAATGGTCAAATCCGAAATGAATTACAGTAGATATATTTGTTCTTAATAAGCTTCTTCTTTTCTCAATTTTTTTGTTTTAATTTCCATTGCATGATAATTACTGTTATTTCCATTGTCTTTCTCTGCATTCATGGTTTCATTTATCTCTTACTGTTATTTACCTCTTTAGTTTAAACAAAACAAAAAACTCGATATAACTGATGTAGAGAAAACACTCCATCTTGTTATTACTTGAATTGCAAAACAACTATATAATATTTCAAACTATATATGAGTTATGATTTGGATCATAACTTCGAGTTTTATTCGTTTATCTTTAATATGAAAGTTACGTCTACTTTTCTAACGGTAATAATTACATTATGATGAATTTCGGAGTGTGTAAAATTTTGAATTTCACTACGAGCTAGTATTACCACGGAGAATGAAGTACCATAATTTACCACAAATGGTGGTCCTGTATTATGGAATTTAGTGAAACCACACACTTGAGGACAAATTGAAACAATGACATCAACATGTAGTTACCACAAATGGTGGTC